TATGTTTAAGGTATGTAAATGTAAAGCCTATATCAGATTGTGCGCCATCTTGGGGGGTGGGGGGAGGAAGGTGGAGAAAAATTTTCAACTCAAAAGCATATGGAAGTGATTGTTGATAAATCAAAATAATTTAATAAAATTTAAAAAAAAAAGGAAAAAGGAAATAAATTTGCTATATTTTTGTTTTCTGATTGGTGCATTAAGTTATGTGGACCTACTTTGTCATGGAGTTTTAAAAACCATCTGTGTGCCAAAAACCCAAGACATGCCATTAGGAAAGCAAAGCAGTTACAAGTCTTTAGTATCAATTGCTAGAAGTGGTTGAAACATTGGAGCATAAGTGTTGCATTAAATATTTTAGTATTTACACATTCTCCTGTCCTCTTGGAATATATTACACCACAAATATTAATACAAGTCTTAGGTATTAATATGAGCATCTGCAGTTTAGAGAAGATAGTGGGGAAGGGAAATACCAAATTGGGTCATTACTTTCTCTAGGATTATCCAAGGTCTGGTTGAAGCAATGATTCCCCTTTGAGAAAAGAGATATAATAAAGACAAAAAAAATGAAAAACCCTGAAATAGATAGAAATAACATCCCTACTCGATTATCTCACTTGCTATTTGCTGCATGTGACATTCTTTCCGAACCTTTCTATATGCCTGCATGTACTCCCTTCTCTTCAGTGCTTCCCTAGTTTTATGCAAGCCTCAATTCACGTGCCTCTTCTACATGAGGTGTACTTTTGATCCTTCTAGTTGTTAGTGTCTCTCCCCAACTTACTATGTTATCTTGTACATTTTTTGTATTTACCTATCTGTGTTATATTATCTTCCTCCACTGAAAGAAAATACTTGCTTCTTGAGGGCAAGGTCTGTTTCTTTTTTCTTTCTTTCTGTTATATTAGCAGTAGCTAGCACATGGATTGTCTCATATTCTCTCTGTCTCTGTCTCTGCCTCTCTCTCTCTGTCACACACATACACACATACGCAATCATATAATCATACATCTAAGACTAGAAGGGAATTTTAGAGATAATCAGATCTAACCTACTCATTTTACAATTTAGAAGACTTAAGATGTTAAATGACTTTTCCAAGTGACACAGGTGGTAAGTGGCTGAGGCAGAATTTAAATCCAAATTTTCCTGACTCCAATTGCTGCACTTGACCTGTTAATGCTTGCTGATATGATAAAGGATGGGGCTGCCTTGGAAGATTTTCCTTCACCAAGGGAAGGTCTGTAAACACTGAGAGTGGTTTGCAGAAGGGGTTCTTGTTTAGGTATAGGTTTCATTAAGTGGCCTTTGAGGTCCCTCACCCCTCTGTGATGCTGTGACATAATATACCATACGTTAGTATATGCGTATTATAGTAGTCATAATGTATTATAGTAATAGTCGTGTATTACATTATCTGTTTGTATTGGTGGCACAATTCTTGGTGATAAATCTAACCCTGATTTCATGGTTGAATTATTTAGATTACCAAAACTACCTTTGATATATAAGGCATTTTGACTACATGATGTTTGATGTCCCTCCTTGCTGTACATTTTTGTTCTAATATGTCTCAGGCCCTTTGTTTTTGTTCCTTTCATTTTTGAGGATAATACTACATCTGGTGGGATTTGAAATTGAAAAGATCAAAACTTAATAAATAGTCTTTCGTAAATACCATGTATAACATATAACATTGTGTATTCATGTAATATATTTTTACAGCTACATATAGGTATTATTTCCTCCCATTAGTGTATAAACTTCAGAAGGATTCAGATGTCTAAGCTAAACTTTGTATCTCTCCCTTGTACTTAGCATAATAGATCCTTAATAAATTTCTGTTGAATGCATATTGTTGCATAAATGCTCTTTGTTGTGTAGCCTGGGAGCCTATCTCAGTTTTTGAATCTACCTCTGAGACTCCTGATGTTACAAGATAATTTCTTAATACCCCATATTATTTCTGATCACAATAAAAAATGGCCAGCCCCTACTTTTTACAGGTATAGCACATTTTTTCAATTTGTGCTTTAATGATCAATTTTTTTTAATTCCTTCATCTCAATTAGAGTTACCCCTACTTCAGATGACCTTGGAGAGAAGTTTAAAGGCCCTTTTTAGATGTTGATTAACCTCATTTGCGTATGAAGGGTACAGGGAAGTATAGTCTGCTGAGGCAATGACCTAGCTGCCTGGGTTGTGTTTTTATGTTTGTCACTGTTCACTTATCTGTGTGGGAGAACTTAAAAGACATTTAGAGTTTGAAAATTGGAAAGCCCTGAACATCAGAAGTACTTGGTAGTTATGGGTCAAACAGCCCTTATAATTTAGCTTTCAGCGATGGAAATTTCGGAAGTATATTGAATGCTGTTCTTAAACTAGAGTGAGACATCTGATAGAGACTCAGGAAATTCAACGAAAAGATTAAGGAAAAGGTCATTAGTTTGCTGGTAGGAATCTGAGTTTTGTTCTAAAGATCTTGGCATCTGGGACTTAGAATCTCTTACTAGGAAGATGAGAGCCAAAACTACTTCTTCAAAGTAACAAGATTAGGGCAGTTTTTTGGTTTTTTTTTCTGGCTAAAGATTCTCTAACTTTTCTAAAAGAGCTGAATAAAAGCATAAAGGCACCTAAATCCAGGAGTTCTTAAGCTGGGCTTCATGGAACTCTAAGGAGTCTGAAGATAGATTTCAAGGGGTCTGTGAATTTGGATAAGAAAAAAAAAGAATAACATCTCAATTTTCACTAATTTTTGATTTTCTTTGTGATATTATTTTTTTACTTTATGCAATTTAAAACATTATTCTAAGAAAAATTACATTCACCAGACTGCCAAAGGGTACCAATGGGACAAAAAAAATTAAATGACCTTGTTTTAAGCTGAAAGAGTATGGGTAGACTCTCTCTTTCTTTGTACAAGAGATAGTGAAAGATTTCAGCTGAACATTCAGAAGCTGTTTCAAAAGAGGCTATGGCTAAGTAATCTAATGTGTTCAATGACATGATTTAGAGTACATCAGTCATCTTGCAAATGTCCTACATGTACGCTGGCCACGTGTCCTCTATGTTTGAGACTTTCTGATGAGGTCTAGAGGTTTAGAGGTGACAGAACCCCAAAAATCACAACACGTGGGTCCTGTCCAAAAGAATTCAACCCAAATCTTCTTTTAGCCAGAGACAGAGTTTTATTAGGGATGGGCCATATAGGCCAGACTCTTAAGAATTTGAACATTAGTGATGAACAAGCGGGCATGAGGAAATCTCAGCATTTAAATGGTGATCAGGGTGGATCTTATATACACTCAAATAATTTTGGGTGTTTGGAGGAGGGGCTGGGAGAAAGATCTTGAAGCTGGGGTGAGTTTAGGGAAAATTCTGATGGGAATGTCTGAGAGGTTGAATAGACAATGGGAATAGATAATGAAGGGAACTAGAAAAAAGAGGTTTGAATGGGGTCTGGATAAGATCAAAGGTGGGAAATATGCTAGGGCTTCCATAGGTTTCCAGAGAGAGATAGGGAGAGTCAACAAGGAAAGGCCATTGAGTGGAGTATAGCCTCAGGTAATAGTTTGATCCAGAGTGAGATCAAAGAAAGTTTAAGGATTTTCTGGGGCCGTAGACAAATGGGACCCAAATTCTTTTTTTTGGTGAGGGGCAAAGGGCTCAGCTTAGGCCCATACCCCATCATTTCCACATGTCTACATTGACCATAGATATTTTCTACATATTTGCCATGTTCTCATGTGTTTCATATGTGTGCCTATACTTTGCACTATTGGTATATTTGTGAGAGAGTGTGCCTTAGGTTTGTGGGGGAAATGTTGCTACATTTTTTTTTAATTTGTGAAATAAAAGAAGCTTTACCATGAAAAAGTAGATTAAAAAAAAGATTGCACATGAAACTGCAAATCTTATGTACAACTTGCTATTAGATATATAGTAGTTATCATGTAACTTTTTTCATTTTTTCTTTCCTTTTTCCCCCAACCCCACCCTAGAGATTGCTACCATTAGACATAAATATGTGAATATATGTAAAATCATTCTATATACTTCATTTTTTGCTATATATAAATTTTTGTTAAATGTCTTTGCTGTAAAGGTAAACATATTGATGGATTATTTGGAGCTATAATTTTAGAGGAAGCAAATCTGCATGGTAACTGGAAGGTAGGGTAGCAATCTCCTGTAGGTTGAGAAATGTTGCAAGGTCCTGCTGCTAAATGATAGTTTCTTGCAATTTTTTTTTACTGTTTATCATGTGCCTCTCCTGAGAATTATAGGACAGGTACTATTGCTTCTACTTTGTTGTGTTCTAGGATCTTGTTATTGATGATCCTGCTTTCCCAAAGTGTAGCCCTCATGATAGATTCTGATTAAATTGCTTAGGAAACTTGATATGAGGTTCTTCTGTTTGTTTTTGTTTTTGTTTTTGTTTGTTTTCAGTCACATACTGGTTAAAAATCACATCATTTAACTGTAGAGGAAGTTAGATACCACCATGGGTTGGAAGGCCCCATTTGAACTTTTAATGTTCTATTGTTTCGTATTTTCTTAAATAACCTTTCTTCAAAATTTTCTGGCTTTTAAGTTCTAGAAGTAAAAACATGCATTTAGCCAGTTCAATGATTTGTTAAAGACTATAGTGTCAGATGTATCTGATTTGTTTATACACAGCAGTTCAGTTGTTTTCAGTTGTATTCAACTCTTTGTGACCCTTTTAGGAGTATTCTTGGCAAAGACACTGGTGTGGTTTACCTTTTCCTTCTCTAGCTCATTTTACAGAAAAGGAAACTGAGGCAAACAGGCTTAAGTGATATCCTAGGGTCACATATCTAGTAAGGGTATGAGGCTGGATTTGAACTCTGGAAGACGAGTATTCCTGACTCCAGGCCTGGCATTCTAATAATTTAATTTAATAGTAGTAATCTCAAAAGAAACCAAAAAGAAAAGAAAAAGAAGCCAAAACTTAAACTCTTATCCTTTTCTTTCAGGAAAAGCATAAGCAACAATTGGAAGATATGAGGAAAGCTGGGCATGAAACCCTGAGCATTATTACAGAGGAATATAAGGTAAAAGTTATAAGCTTGTTGACTTATAATTGACAGGGATTATTTGAAAAAAAAATGTATATATACATAACTTAAAAATAACAAAATTAATTCATCCTACATTTACAACGGCACTTAGCACAATGCCTGGCACATAGTAGGTGCTTTATGAATGCTTGTTAATTTGATTTGAAAATAATTTTACTGTTACTTTAGCCATAAAACTTGTTATTCTGTATTTGTATATACTTTTTCTTTTTTATAAAAAGAGTCATATTCTTTTGGTTCTGCTTTAATCTGAACACATTACCATCATGTATGTATATACACATACATGTTGTTCAGTCATTTTAGTTGTGTCCAATTGTTTATAACCCCGTTTGAGGTTTTGTTGGCAAAGGTATTGTAGTGGTTTGCTATTTTCTGCTCCAGCTTGTTTTACAGATGATGAAACTGAGGCAAACAAGGTTAGATGACTTGTATATGGTCACATAACTAGTGTCTAAGGCTGGATTTGAACTCAGGCTTTCCTGACCTCAGTCCTGACACTCTATCCATTGTGCCACCTAACTGCCCTCATTCCTTCACTAACTTGTATTTATTTGTATTTATTAACTTTAAATTTATTCTTTGTGTACTTATATATGGACTTGTCTCTACCATAGATTACATGCTCCTTTGGAATACATTGTTTCATTCTTTGTACTTTTTTCTTTAGAACCTAGTATGATACCTGTCATAGAGTGGGCAAGTAAAATGCTCTTTAATGTATTGATTGATGTCTAACTCAGGGCATTTATGAATAATGCATTTGCAAGTATACACACACACACACACCCCACACACACACATACATATAAATGTGTTTATGTGTGTTTGTGTGTCTGTTGGGGAAGTGATCACATGGTCTCTTAACATACCAAGCAATTCTTTGAGATTGTATTAAGACTAAGAGATAATTTAAGAATTATTGAATTAACTGAAAGCCATTATTGAAAAGGATCCTGGATGGCATCTTTCAAGAAGTTACCAAGGAGGAATCCAAAAATCTGTACTCTTGAGCCTGAGCTCTCATATTTTAGCTATGCATGAATTTGAGGTTTTAATAGATATACTATAAAACATAATATGCTTGAGAAGTGTGAGGAGGGGAAGCCAGAGCTGAAGCGGAAGCTGGATGCAGATTTGGCACCTCCCAACCAGGCAACTCTCTTACACTTCCTTAATTAATGAGACACAGATGAAGCTGTAACAAAAAAGACTGAGGGGCATTCAGACAGGAAGGAGAACCAAGAGATACAGAGGCTTTAAAAGGAAATGTGAGAAGATCCTCATTGCAGTCATGAAACCTGATGAAACACCTATGTTTAACCCAAGTCTATTGAAAGAGGTGTACTGGAGCCAGAATACTGCAACATTTTCTCCAACCATTTTCCCAATATACCCAGGAGATGGTTTGGTTTTGAGGCCTCTTTGTACTACAGATCTAAACAGAGGATTTTTTAAGGTACTTGGTCAGCTGACAGAAACTTGAATGGTCAGCCCTGAGCAATTTATGAGATCATTTGATCATATGAGGAAATCAGGAGATTATTACGTTACAGTTGTAGAAGATGTCACTGTAGGGCAGATTGTTGCTATGGCTACTCTGATAACATAACTTCATATGATAACAACATAACTGAGAACATAAATTCATCTATCCATGTGCAAAGAGAGGAAGAGTAGAATATGTTGTGAGTGATGAACGCAGAGGAAAACAACTGGGAAAACTGTTATTGTCAACTCTTACTCTGCTAAATAAAAGACTGAAATGTTAACAAAATTACCATTGTATGTCTTCCACATAATGTTGGTTTCTATAAAAAGTTTGAATATACTGTATCCGAAGAAAAATACATGTATCACAAGTTTCTAAAGCAATGATAACAAAAATCATTTTTAGATTGAAAACAAAGAAATTTGGAAACAGTGTGGGAAAATTGGGACACTAATGTGCTTTTGGTAGAATTGCAAGCTGATCTAATCATTCTGGAGATCAATTTGGAACTGTGTTCAAAGGGCCATAAATCTTTGACCTAGTAGAACAACTACTGGTTTATATCCCAAAAAGACTTAAAAAAAGGAAAAAAGACCTACAAAATTATTTATAGCAGCTTTTTTGTAGAAGTAAAAAATTAGTAGTTGAGGGGATGCCTATCATTTGGGGAATAGTTGAACAAGCTGTGGTATGTGATTGAGATGGAATACTATTGTACTATAAGAAATGACCAGCATGATGCCTTCACAAAAACCTAGAAAGATTTACATGATTTGATGCAGTGTGAAGTGAGCAGAATTAAGAGAACATTATACACAGCAACAACAGTATTGTACAATGATCAATTGTAAATGACTTAGCTGTTCTCAGCAATGCAATGATCCAAGACACTCCTAAAGGTCTTGTGATGAAAAGTGCTATCCATCTCCAGAAAAAGAACTGATTTACTTTATTTTTTCCATTTTTTTTGCCTGTGATTTCTTTTATAGCACGACTAATATGAAAATGTTTTGCCTGATTATACATGTATAACCTGTATCAAATTTATTGTCATCTCAGGGAGGGTGAAAAGGTGGGAAGAAAGGAGGGAGAGGATGCGCAATTCAAAATTTTAAAGAAACAAATGTTAAAAATTGTTTCTACATATAATTGGAAAAAATACTAAAAAAAAAAGGCAATAAAATAGAAATTGTCCATAAGGGAGCTCAAATGTAGTACTTCAGAAGATTTAACCCTCTGAGAAGCATAAAGAGATTAAATAAGAAATAAATAGGCCACATAACAGAGAATAAAATTCAGAATGCTCAGGAAGAAAATTGAATTAATGATGAGAATAAATCAAAGATAATATTCTTAAAAGTTCTTTGGGCAAAAAACTAAGGGAAAAAATGTTATAATAGAGGAGAAGAGGCAGAAGTTTGAACTAACCACCTAAATATAAGCAGAAAAAGAAAGGTGAAGCAGGAATAGATAACTAATAAAAATAAGATGAATAAGAGAGGGATAGTAAGGAGGAAACAGATGACAAGATTAGAGTTACATCAAAATAACTTAAACAAAACTAATTGTAGACACAAGGTAATCATTTAAAGGAGAAAGACAAACAAAAATGTGTCTTTAAAAAAAGCAATATTAGAGATAAATGGAAGGCATAAACCCATCTTTCATAACTTTAAATTCAGTGAATTAAGTAATTCAATAAAATGAAAGAATGACAGGAAAGATTAAAAAACAAAAACCTACAATCTGTTGCTTATAGAAAATATCTAAAAAGCAAATAATCAAAATTAGAGACTAGAAGTGTGTATCAGGTGAACCTAAAAAAGCAGAAATTGCAATCATACTATCAAACAATAAAAAATAAAATTATATTATGCATAAAAACAGAAAATGAACCAATATCAGTATTAAATATGTCTGTCAAATAATGTAGCATTTAAATTTATAAAGAAAAATTAACTGGATTGTGGAAAGACATGTTAGTAAAAATAAATAAGTAATAGACTTTAATGTTCCATTCTCAGAACTGGACTAAAGAAAAATCAAGAGAGGCAGCTAGGTAGTGATGGATAGAGCACCGGCTCTGAAGTCAGGAGGACCTGAGTTCATTTCTGGCCTCAGACCAAACACTTGACACTTACTAGCTGTGTGTCCCTGGGCAAGTCACTTAACCCCAATTGCCAAAAAAAAAAAAAGAAAGAAAGAGAAAGAAAGAAAAGAAAGAAAGAAAGAAAGAAAGAAAGAAAGAAAGAAAGAAAGAAAGAAAAAGAAAGAAAGAAAGATCAAGATAAAAAGGGAAAATTTAACTGTTGCTGAATTGAGAGATAAAAGATTCATGGGGCCTTCCAAATGGACCATAAAAACATATACTCAGTATCATACAGCACTTGTCCAAAAACAACTAATGTATTAGGGCCAAGAAAAAGAGCAAATATGTGTAAAAAGCAGAAATACTAATTGTTTCCTTTATAGGCTAATCTAGGCTGGGCCTAATTCAGGCTAGTTCCATGGTAGATTAGTCTCAGTGTTGTTCAGCCTTCGTTTTCAAAGAGGACCAATGATATCATGAGGGTGATGTCTTGACTTGTGCGTGAATTAAGTGATGCAGAGCTGAGCAGAATCTTCAGCCTCACTCTGTCCTCCAGAATTATCAGAATCAGAGGTCAAGATGACTTGTGATGGCCCAGGATGCAGTGGGTGATCTTGGCCTTTCTACATAAAGGTCTTTCCCAGGTCTCAGTTTTTCTGAGGCCAGACCCTTTCAATCACTGAAGACTAGGTAGGAGCTGAGAAAAAAAAAATGGCCCAACTTACCATTACAATGACATAAATCTGGGAGTTTCTGTCCAAAACAAAAAAATTACTATTTATACTTATTCTAAGCTATGAAAACCTAAAGAGCCTTAGCGCTATTATTGGTCATTCAATGAAAGCCAGAGTGATTTGAGTTTAAAAACTCAATATTGGAAGAAAATGATACAGTCACAGGTCATTCAGTAGTTAACAAATAGAGATTTAATTAGCTGTGGCAAGAAAAGGGGACAGCTAAGTGGTATAGTGGATAGAGTACTGGGCCTGAAGTCAGGAAGACTCATCTTCTTGAGTTCACATCTGGCCCCAGACATTTACTAGCTGTGTGACCCTGGACAAGTCAGTTAACCCTGTTTGCCTCATGTGTAAAATGAGCTAGAGAGGGAACCATTCTAGTTTGTTTGCCAAGAAAACCCCAAGTGGGGTTGATGGAGTACAGGCCCTGGGAACTGCCCCCCCCAACTTTCCTTGAGTTTTTTCCTTTTTCCATGTAGTCAAGCCTCTGGAGTGACCTGAGGTATTGTCCCAGTAATCCTGTCAACTGGCCTTCCGTTGTGGCTATTCCCAGTCTCCCAATTCTGTTCTGTTACCTCCAAATTACTTGAGGCCACTTCTCATGCTTAATTACATCTAGACCCCTTCAGCATTAGCCTTGGGCACCCAGCCCTTC